CCTTAGTATATACTCTGTTTTTATGGTAGTGTATTGCGTATGGTTTGCTTATTACTTTTGATATGTCGTGTTAGGTTACCAGTGGAGTTGAGCGCCTTGATAACAATGATGCCATTGCATAGTGCCATTGCATCAGCATGCTTAAAATCAGGCTTATCATTAGAATCTGAAAGCTGGGGATTGGTCCCTCAAGGTATGTTTTTTGACCATTTATTTGTTATGTGATAGTAATTATTAACTCAAAATTGTGAATGGATGAGTAATCTATTAACTACCATTAGATCATCCTCTAAAGTTCCGATTATTGTTAAATTTCAGGTTTCAATGAGAAATAATCTTTATAGAAATTTCAATGCATCATGTTTCCACAAATTATGATTGTATGAAATGGATTAAGGTACTTAGTTTATTAAGTTGTAACATAGCCATAAATGAAAAGAACTCTCATCTCTTTTAATTAATAAGGGGTCATAGATCGGGAAAAAAACATCTGGTACCTTTTCCATGTTTCCTTCCTTGATCATCCGGTCAAATTTCGACATGTGTAAAAACATGGGGCAATACATAACGGTAGGGGATGGTTATGTAAATGTAGGGGAGTACATATATAAACTAAGATAGAAAATACAAATGTTATTGTTAATAACTATGAAGAATCATAAGGTTGAAGCCATAAGTTTCTTAGGGCGTGTTGCGTTTGAACTTTGACGGAATGTTTTTGAGGGATTTGGTTTTCGTGAAAGGATTTGAAAATTTTGGAATGGAATTGAATTCCATTCTTTAGAAATAACTTACGAAAATTTAAATTTTTTTTTTCTAATTACCTTTTTATTAATTGATTATTACAAAAAAATGGTTTTAACATATTTTAAAACATTATTACAAACAAATTCTATAAAATCCCGCTAAATACCAACTACCTCCATGGGATTTCAAATCCAAGCATTCTTTCAAATCAAATATAGGATTGAAATGGAATTCAACTGCAGATCCTGCAAAACAATCAGGACTCTATGGTTATTTCAAGTCGGGTATGCCCTATCACGTAATGGTCTAAATAATAATGTATTTTTTGATATTTCTAGATACATTATACGTTATTAGTATCATTTATTTGGTTCTAACATTCTTACATGATCGATATTGCAGGCATTTCAATGCCTTTATGACAACACCGTTCATGAAACAGATGTTCGTATGAGTAGGAACACAAGTCGAACAAGTTCCAACTTTTGAAATGTAATGTGACTTTAGGATATGAAAATGTTGTGTTCAATGCGTTATACAAGATTATATTTGCTCAAATTTCAATCCTTCTTTTGATTGTTCCCCATCAACCTGAGTTGCATATGTTGTTCATTTGGAAAATAAAGCATGGAAGTTGTAGAAAGGATCTATGTTCATGGAACTAAACAGTTGGGCAGGTATTGTCTTGTCTTGTCTTGTCGTTTTCTGGATATTTGTGCTCTTTATCTGAGCCGCTTACCTTTCGAACTCCTATTATAACAATGCTTAACTACTCATCTATACACGGGCTTCAGGGTAGGTGCTTAACGGTAAGAGTAAAAACTCTTTACTTATTTTATTGGGTAACGTTCTCAAGTCAACCAACAAAATGGATTGTTGGGTAACGTCTCTTTATTTGGTAAGCGCTAATCGGGTAAGAGTCTTCTTCACTTAGGGGTCGGTTACTAAACGCTTACCCGGTAAGTACTTACCGGGTAATTTTTCTCACCAGATGGATTGTTGGGTAACGTCTCTTTTTCTTTTCATGTTTTCAAGATACTTTTGACAGCTTTCATACCTTTATGTTTTCTTTGCATTTCACAAGGTGAGATTCAAACTGATATTTACCATAAGTTATCAAAAGTTCTTTCAATCATATCCCATTCATTTGCTTTATAACTCTGGATCTCGCTCTCGATCTCTTGATTCTTTGCTTTTGATGTAAATAAAATATATTTGTGGAGTCGTTTAAATATGTTGAATTTTAAATATATTAGATTTTTTTCATCGATAGACTGTAATTGAAACCATAACTCTTATTTATTCAAATTGTATTAATATGTAAAGACCAAATGTAACTTATATCATCATTAAATCTTCTCTAATAAAACCAGTGAAACTTCAAAATCGTTAAAATTCACGGCTCCCGCCGCATTGCGCGGGTACACAACTAGTTAAATATTTAAATGTTGTCATTTATAATTTTTTTTATTATGTTACCTTAATTAAGATTTATTAGTAACTTTCATTTTTAATAGAAAACAATGCAAATGACCAATATACCCTTAATAATTCAATTTAATTAGAAAAAAATGGAATTTTTCTATTGGTCGAAATTAGTTTATACGATTTCTAAGAATTGCACGGTTTTCATTTGAACGTGTCTTTATATATATATATATATATATATATATATATATATATATTATACTGTTACTCAATAAGATAATGACATTAAACAATTTATATTCATATTATCTTTATAAATATAAAGAGTATGTGATCTAAGATTCAAAAGACGATTTGGAAGGGTTTACAATTTGTTTTAATCTGTGAGTTTGTGAGGTTTGTGTATGTGTGAGTTTCTAACTCCGTGAATAAGGTAACTAGGTAAATCCATGTAAGGGTAAATACAAAAGGTAAAAGAAACTAAAACTAAAAAAATAACGCCTATTAAGAATTGCACGTTGTGGAGCACCATGATATACAAACTCATGTGGTCATCGGAGCCACGCCTTACACAGACCCTGACATGCTGTAGGGCTTAACGTAGCATCACATAAATATCTTGTGCCATGGTGAGCCCCTTGAAACCCTGGATAAGATATAGGTATTAGAGGTTGAAGGTGTAAGTGTAACAAATCATATTAGTTTGAAAAAATCTGTTTTGTTATTATTTCACAAAAAATTGCTACAAATCATTTGAAAATTGCTACCATCGTTTATGTGGTTTTGAAAATACATTTTTCGTCATTGTGCTTTTCTGTTTGAGAAATTAACTCAAATGACCATTTCCCTCATTGAAATTGGTTTTCTAACCATCCCTCTCCCAGTTTGATCCAAATGTCACTACATCCACTATCGACAGGTCTATAATATTGCAAACCTAGCTAAAAAACAAAAAAAAGGGTCAAACTCAACCATTTTACCGTTGCAATTGCGATCGTCACAATTGCATATCTGCTCGTCGCAATTGTATATGTATGTTAAAGTTGGATATTTTTTTTGGCCTTAAGCTAGGTCTAGAATGAATATTGCGAAAGTAGTAACATTTGGGCCAATCCGCAAGAGAAATGGTTAGAAAGTCATTTGAATAAGGTAAATTACCATTTAACTCAATGACTCTTTCTATTTGTTGTTTCCATTCGGTCCCTCTGTTCCATTAAACAAAGTCCGTCAAGAATCCATTATCCATCCCATTACAAAGGTTTGCTTAACTAATTGTTGGATTGGAAATGACCAAGAATTGCTCCTAAAAAGGGCTCGGAGGGCCAATATACAACACAAATGAAGTCGAGAGTTTACTTAAAAAAACATCATAAGTTTTATATCTGAAAACCATTCAATTTGATCATTTAAAAAAAGGCTATTAACAATTAAGAATACAAAAAATATTCAAGACCACAAATATAAAAAAGTTCATACAAAAAGTACGAAACAAAGACGTCAGAAAAATTAATTCATAGTTCACAGTTTCTTTGAATTTTGCTATTAATTCGAAATTGTTAACTGTTGATTAAAAGAAATATTGTGGACCCACAGGTTTAATGAAATCTAATGACCAAAACGTCTAATTAATTAACAATTTTGTCTTACTGAATTTATGAAACAAAATAAAAAAACACAAACTGCTTTTTATTTATTTATTAAAAACTATATTATTAATATATAAAATAAGAAAATCCGTGAATTATTTTATAGAAAGAAACCAACAAATAAATGCGCTTTTTTAAATAAAACCATGGGTAAATAATTAAATCAAAGGGACCCACTCCACATCACTAAACCAAACTACAAATGGACTATATATTATATAATAATTAGAAAAGAAAACCTTGTAATTTCTGTACCGGTTTTATAAGATATCAGATATAAGGAATTAAGGATATAGTCTAAAGAGACGAAAGCCTATTTATAAGGTTACTTTGCTTACATAATGTAACGAGATATATCTTGATTTTAATATTTTATTTTATATTTTAGGTCTATCGATGTTATAATGCAATTTTATGTGGTTTTGAAAAAAAAAAATTTTATTTTTAAGTGAAATATAAATTTGAAAATATTATAACTTTTTTCTTAAAAATAATCGATATTATTATCAAATTAATAATTAAAAAAATTTCCTTCTTATGTAATTTCTTTAATTCAATTTTTCTTATAATTTAATTGAAATTAAATAACAAACTAATTTTCTTTTTAGTTTAAAAAATATATTTATAAGATGATAATTAAGTATTTTATTAGAATTCAATAATTATCTTAATTATATTTTAGATTTTTTTATATTTAAAATAAGATATTTATTCTCTATTTAATTATGTTTATTTGTAGTTAGTTATACGAATTCAAATATGAAATCTTTAATAAGTTGTACTTACGCACAATTTACTTATAATTTTGAATTTTAAGTAATATGCATCAATAAATAATACTTTATACATAAAAAATAATTTTTAATCAAATAATTTTTTATCTTTTAAATGGTTTTTACCATTTTTTTTTAAAGTTTTTCTATTTTATATTTATACAATATGTTTTTACTTTAAAAGTTGAGAAATTATAAAGGGCTAAAAATCTTAAAATTTTAATTGAATTATTTTAACAAAATTGGGGAAAAAGACAAAAATAGAAGGACCAAAAGTGTAATTCTAAAACCAGAAAGAGGGATGAAAAACTATGTTTAGTAAAATAATGGATAAATTACAGTGAGGTACAAGCATGACAGGCCGTCACACTATCGGATTCCTTCTCAAGATCTTTACTCTGACTATATACTAAGGTCAAATTTTAACATAACCATAGTTAAGAAGTCGGTTTATATTTGAGCCAGCATTCTCCTTCGAAACATCTACAACATAGATAGAAAGAGAGAAAGGGAAAGTTCAAGATAATGATGATGATCATTGGAAGAGAGACTCTTCATTCAAATCCAACGGTGCAAGTCCCTCCATGGGACTCAACCCTTGATGATCCCACGGATCATATCCATTCCGTTTTCTTTGATGAACTCGAAATGGCGGGATACGACGAGGTTGGGGAATACGATGATGTTCCCATGGACGCATTCTCATGCGATCATTTCCGCATGTATGAGTTCAAGGTCAGGAGGTGTGCACGTGCCAGGTCACATGACTGGACAGAGTGTCCGTACGCTCATCCCGGAGAGAAGGCTCGCCGTCGTGATCCTCGGAAGTTTCATTATTCCGGCAACCCATGCCCGGAGTTTCGTAAAGGTACGTGCCAGAGAGGTGACACGTGTGAGTACGCACATGGCGTTTTCGAGTGTTGGCTTCATCCTTCTCGCTACCGTACTCAGCCGTGTAAGGACGGCGTCCAGTGCCGCCGCCGGATCTGCTTCTTTGCCCACACTCCAGAACAGCTCCGCCTCTTGCCGGTGAGTCATAACGGATCGAATCACCTAGAGTCATACGATGGTTCTCCGAGTCGATTCGGTGTGGACTCGCTCATCGGGACATCTCCAACGTCTACACTCTACCGGTCACCATGTTCTCCGCCGTTGTCACCTGTGTCGTCGATTGGTCCAAACTCGGTGAATGAACTCACCTCCTCCGTTCGTAATCTGCAGATCGGAAACGGCGGAAGGTTGAGCATGAGTCCGATGAGTGGGTTCTGTTCCCCACGAAGTCTGTCTATTCTCCGACCAGGGTACACGAGTCTTCCGTCAACTCCAACTCGTAACTCGAGTCGAACATGTGTCAACTCGTTTGATCTGTGGGATCAAGGATGTACAACCGAGGAGCCGATTATGGAAAGAGTGGAATCTGGAAAGGAAATTAGAGCCAAGATATACGCGAAGCTGAGTAGAGAGAACTCGCTGGGTGGGCGAGTCGACTCGTCTGGACTGGTGAGCTGATGATGATGATGGTGGTGGTGGGTTGAATTCTTTTTGAAAAATTGTGTGAATATTATTATATCTAATATGTTGATAGAAACTGTTTATGAATGTGATGATATGATATGATATGATATGGTATGAGGGAAGGGGAGATTAAGGCCATTAATCTCTGGTTTTGGAAAACTTGTAGAAAGGAGGGGACATGAAGAACTAATTTCGATGTAATTCATTTTTTTGTTTTTTTATGAATTTGTTTTCTTGTTATTCAGCAATCAATCGTAATCGTAATCGTAGATGTAAATGGTTGTGTTTAATTGTTATGCTTAATTTCTTAGAAAGGAAACATGTGCTAATATTAGTAGGATGTTACCTCTTTATTAAGCAAAACAACAATTTCTGTATTGTGTAAATGCAACCCTTAAAAAGGTTTATGGGGTATTATGTTGTGTGAGAACGGGAGTTCAATATAAGAAGCAGCGATTTGGATCCTTCATGATTTTTAATCTAACTCCTATCCCATGAGTTGTGTTTATCCTTTGATTTGATCTGATGCATCTTGGTGTATTACATTGGTGTTGATCTTAAATTAAAATTGATCCAAATATGAAAATCCCTTCTTACGGTACTCATCGTAACTTTCATTTTTTACGGGAGCTCTAACCTTGTATTGGCATGTGGACTTGATTAGAATTGTGTAAAATTTATGTCATCCTGCCAAACCGTTAAAAAAGTTTTAAAAAACTTGTTGACACGTCTAAAATTATCTTATAAACTTATTGTAAAACTTTTTTTTGATAGGATGTTTTATAGTTTGGTTTTATAAACTTGAAGTTATATAAATATTTCATTCGTCAAATTTATATACTTACTAACCGTTAACCCAATCCAACCATCCCCAACCTACAAGGATTGCAGTGGATTGGGTTACACTTTTGAATTAGTTGAATTGTGTTGTGATTTTTCCACATCGATTTAATTGAATTGAGTTGTATAAATGCCGTAACTCGTACAACCCAACCCATGTAAACCCCAAAACTTGATTTATGAGATTTAACATGAAGTTCTAAAATAATATTTAATATTAAGGTATTATTGATTAGTAAGAATTATTTTGGGGTCGTTATCAAACGCTTACCGAGTAAGCATTTATCAAATGTCACATACTTTTTGGATGAGCATGATAAGGCCTACAATGCTATTCGGTAAAAGATATATACATGATTAAATATCTTACCGAATAAATAAGAGAGAATATTTTTATCCGATAAACACTTAACAGATAAAAAATGTTTGCCAATAATCACTAACGGAGTGAGTGTTATCCTAGACACATGCAACCAATTGTTTGAATTTTTTTTTCCTATCAATATCGTATTTTTAATACATTTATTTTTTATTTAAAAATGAAGTTTGTCTTAGTTTTTACTTTTTGTTTGAACTTAACAAATAATTGTTTTCTTTTAATGTAATGAAGTTTCAAATTTTCTTATTTTATGTAATAAAGTTTTAAAACTTCTCAATCAATATAACTTTCAAAAAGTTTATTTGATATAACATTTGATGACGTGAATGTCAAGTTTTTCGTCTAATTCATCGTAACTTTTTTTCTAAATTTCATAAATCTTTTGTAAATGGGTATCCACGTCATCATATGTTTCAAGATCTTTATGCTACCAATCAAAATAAGTATAAAACAGAAAATGTCGAAACTTAATTAAAGCTCGTGAGGATAAATAGGTATTAAATAAGAATTTGTTACATTTCAATACATTTTACACTTGTTTAGAAGGAACACCCTTCGTCATTTTTCTGGTTCCACCCTTGCCAACAATCCATTTCGATGAGCAAGAACGTTGCTTGATAAGGTAAGAGATGGTAGTACTCTTGTTACTAAGCGTTTATACGATAAATGTTTAATAAGCAATCCCTCAATATTTAATAAGGTGTCTTTTTAAAAGATGATTGATGTTAATATCGTCTTGTGGGTAAGTTTGAAATGTTAGGACTTTAGACCATGGCAAATCAATTTTTCCAATTGGTTTTACTTACCAAACCAAAATATGAATAAGGTTTAATCTTCAATTACAGAAAACATGGATAAAACTCTATTATCTAAAACGGAAAAACATGAGTAATGCTCAATACCCAAGATCACATATTATGGAAAACATTCCATACCCAAAAATGTTGGCCCCAAACAGATTTACAAGAGTGTTAAATATAACAGTTTGTAGAAGGGGTTGGGGATGAATACAAACATACAATATTCACTTGTTAAATTTGTTTATTGATAAAAGAAGATTAATATGAAATTTACAGATTTTTCCAGAAGAAGATAGGTTAAGACCTAATCAAAACAATCTTAGAAACATACAATTTGCACAAAAGATAAGAACAAGAGAGAAAAGAGTTAGAATGAGAAGGAGGTGCTTACTGAGAAGAGAGTCTTTTTAGCTATTTATACCCATTACATTTAATGCAAGTTAGATGGTACAAGTTACGTGACAAACTTTTAGTGGAGAGCTTGTCCTTTGTCTTCAAATATGCATGCTTTTGGTCATATATGAACAGTTGACTTTCACAAAGTTGGTAACTCCATATATGTACTTTTCTATGTGAGGTATGGGGTTGTCCTTTTTGTGCAAGAGGATAAGACAAAAACTTAATCTTATAGAGCAAGATTCATTTGATCGCTGACACTGATTCATCCATAAAATTTCTTCAGTGTTCGACGAGTCTTGGTTAGATTTCACTTTGATTTAGACATTCTTGTTATCACTGAATCCACTTTAGATCATGAATTGTTATGTCCCTTTCTTCAGCTACTTCTTCAACATTAGTGAATGTTCCTTTGGTGTGAGTTTTGTATTTGAGGAATACTTGTTCTTTGAGAAGTTTATAATACACGTTCAACTATCACTGAACAGACTCAGAGATGATCGTTGAAATTGAACAAAAATAGAACAAATATATTTCACTAAGTATGGATGGTTATCATCAAATTATTGAGATAGTTTGGATCAACAATCTCCCCCTATTTGATGATGACAAAACAACATAAAAGAAAATCGTTATCTGTTACAGTGAAGGAATTGAACTTGTAAGATACATGTCCCTTTGTGGGATCTTTTTCAATGTCATGGAGTATTATATGGAAATTCATTTATTTGTAGAAGATTACAAGTGAGAAAATGAAGTTACATAACTGAAAAAAATAAAGTAGCACTAAAGGCATATTAGCTGATTAGAGATAAAGATAAGTCAACGTATGAATCAGGGATAAATTGAAATTTTATTTAAATAGAAATGAATAAAAATGATATTAAAATTGGTTTGAGAACTAGATAAGTCTATACATTGCCAAAAGTTTAAGAAAGAAAATAAAATACAAGATTGAAATCTTTAGTCAAGATCTTTGAAAGAGATGTAGTCAGAGGCATCTTTTTTCAGCATTTCCTTTTGAATCTTGTGATCAATCATCTCTCCAAAGATATCTTCATTCAACCAGGTCCAAAGACACTCCAGATGTTCAGTTGGGCAGAGATGGAGTTCAGACACTCGTTGGAACCTATTGATCGTCATAGTCAATGAACATAAGTCCATACTCAGGTTTCACATGCATTGTGTTGGGAGAGAAGGGTCCCTTCTTAGGCAGTGTTAGGTTCATCATTGAGATGTTTGGCTTCTTTATATTCTTGAAGAGTTCATCCGCTAAGAATTTTGTCTCTTGCTCGTTCTTGTGGGATGGTCCTTCTTTAGAATTAGAAAGGGTCATTCTTCTTCGAGAGGTCTTCAGTGGTAGAGGAGGAACCTCGATGATCTTTGACACTTTGTTGAATAGTTCATTCATAAATTCTTCAATGTAATCCTTAAGTTTTGATTTTGACTTCTAAATTGCGTGTCGAATCTCCATCCACTTGTAGAACCTATATTTGCTCAGAAAGGATGGATATTCCATTATGGCATTATTGTTCCCTCTAAAGATGACCATGTAGACAAGAAGACCACTATCCTTCATCTGTTTGTTGATGGTGATGTTTGAAATCATGTGAGAGTTTATCCTTGTGTCAATTCTTTCCTTGCACCAATTCATCTTATGATCTTTCAGTATCAGCACTCTTTTGATTTTTCTTTTCAGTTTCTCTTAGGAGTAGAGCATGAGTACCTATGGAGTCATTTTTCTTGAACCTTCCTTCAAGATGAGCTTCATCAACTAGAGCTTTGGACACCTCTAGAATGTTTCTCAGTTGCTGTTAATGAAGTTCCAACTCTTGCTCTGCCTTCAGGGATTCTTCTCCCTCAACTTCAAAGAGAAAGTCAAAATCACCACATCCAGAGGTACGATGAGAAAATTTTAAATCTAGATTAGTCGAGTTGACTTATTAGATGATCTATCCTCTTTGTTTCCTCAACCTCAAAGCATACAGAAAGTCGAGAGGACTTCCTAGTGATGAGGTCAGAGGCTTCATCTTCTTCAGCGTCTGAATCGAACATGAAGACTGGTAAGTCTCAGCTGTAGAAGGTTGGGTTGAAGGGCTAAGAGAGATCAGAGAGGAGAGAGACTTGGTTGGAAGGGGTAATATAGAAGAAAGAGAGGGATAAAGAAAATATAGAGGTAAGGGGTTGAAGGGTTCAACTTCTGAGGAAGAGGGAACAAAAATTGTTAAGGCATTTGTTACCTCTGGAAGACTGAACACCTCTTGCAGAAAGGCTTGGTTCTCTTTAGCAACTTCGTTTCCTTTGCCTGAATAGGAGTGCTGGTTTTGAGAAGATCTCCCCCCTGGGTTGAAGATTCCTGGATGGAGATTCCTTTGACTGGATGTCTTGAGATGGGTTGGATCCTAAAGTCATGATCATCATCATCATCTTCATCTTCATCTCCAAGATCGGCTCTAGTGTCAGGGATCTCAGGACCCTCAGCTTCCTCATCAGCTTCCTCATCTTCATCACCAACATTAGCTAATGCAGAGGTGGAAGGCAGAGGGTCTTCAAAGTCAGCGACCTTAGTGCTTGATCGCTAAAGAATGGAGTCTTCTTGAGCTATCAATTGTTCTTCTTGAATCAAGGCAGCTTCTGTTGTGATTTGAGCAGCAACTTCAGCAACAATAACTTTAGCTTCAGCCTTCTCCCCCTCTTTGTTATCATCAATAAAGGGAGGAATTCGAGCAGGTATATCGTTAAGCTTTTTCTCGATGGAGATGGGGGCTTCTCCATGCTGGAGGTTGAACTCAACCACCATATCCAGCTGATGAGGTTCATTCATGCTGAATGAGGGTTCATGGATAGGTGTTGGTCCTCAGCCTTCCTGGAGAGATCAACGATGGCTTTGGAGTTTTGCTGGACTTTTGTCTTCACGCTAGTCAACTCACACTTAGCT